TCTATATGTCTGTTCTTGTGCCAGTACCAGATGGTTTTGAGAACCGTGGCTTGGTAATATAGCTTGATATTTGGTATTGTGATCCCTCCAACTTTGTTCTTCTTTCTCAGGATTGCTGTGGCTATTTGGGGTCTTTCTTTATTCCAGATGAATTTTTAGAGAGTTTGTTCTAGAATCTAGATCTTTGAAATATGCCGTTGGTGTTTTAATGGGATAGCATTGAATCTATAAATTGCTTCGGGTAGTATGGACATATTAATGATGTTGATTCTACCAATCCATGAACATGGCATGTTCTTCCATTTGTTTATGTCTTCCTCTATCTCTTTTTTCAACGTCCTGTAGTTTTTTGAGTATAGGTCTTTTACCTCCTTAGTTAAGTTTATTCCTAGGTATCTTATTTTTTTTGGTGCAATGGTAAATGGGATTTTTTTTTAGTTTCTCTTTCTGTGAGTTCATTATTGGTGTATAAAAAAGCCATAGATTTCTGGGTGTTAATTTTGTATCCTGCTACATTGCCAAATTCATTTATTAAGTCTAGTAGTTTTTTGATGGAGTCTTTGGGGTTTTCTCTGTACAATGTCATGTCATCTGTGAATAATGACAGTCTCAATTCTTCTTTTCCAATTTGGATGCTTTTTATTTCTTCTTCTTGTCTGATCGCTATGGCTAGCACTTCCAGTTCTATATCGAACAGGAGTGGTGAGAGTGGGCATCCCTGTCTTGTTCCTGTTCTTAGGGGAAATGGATTTAGTCTTTGCCCATTGAGTATATGTTGGCTGTAGGTTTGTCATATAAGGCTTTTATTATGTTGAGGTATGATCATATCTCAACATAATAAAAGCCTTATATGACAAACCTACAGCCAACATCATACTCAATGGGAAAAAACTGTCTGTGACTGCAGGGGTTGGTGTATAAAATCATTAAATGTCTCTATAGCTTGCACCGCTGTTGACTCATGTGCTTCTAATAGCCACTAAGCACGCTCTTAGCTGGTCCTCCCTATTCCCGCCTTTTGTTGC